ACTTTTCTTCTACAAGTGTATCTTTCCCCTCGTTTCAATTGGATCGGGCGCGGCACGTGACCGTTACCTTCCCATAATCTCTCGCGATTTGGTGGTCTGCTCTGAACTGGCGCCATTTTTGTGCGAGGTATGCTGGTGGCTCCGTTGCGTACATTCCAACCGTAGATTTATTTATTTATTTATTTTTTTTGATTACGACGTCGGCGGCATCGCGATGTCATCTTGCTGCACTGTGGATTGTAGGAACAGCGTTGCGAAAGGGAAGAATTAAACTTTCTTTACTGACCCGACGGGAACAGAACCTATTCAGGCGAAGACACTGAGATTATTTTCATCGTTCTTGTCCAGCTCGCTTGCAACTTTGCATTTAATTGCATTATCATCATGGCTCCAGCAGATTGGTCGTGCTGAACCGAAATTTTGATTTCAAAAAACAACGCGCAAGTGCTAGCCGGGGCGCAACAAACCCGAAAACATCGCTCATAAAGCGATATGTCCAACGGATGGTCATAATTTTGTGAAAGAAGAGCGCACTTGAACAAGGCCAAAAAAAGCCCATGACGTCGCGATTCTCGTTTCCTCCTCTTCTCGCTTTGACTCCGCGAAGACGCGAAGAGGGAAGGAAGCAAGGCCGTTTCCCCCTCCTCCTCAACAATTCTGCGGGAAACAGGACGTCGCGATTCTCACTCCATCGCATCCTGATTTTACAAAAAGTGCGGCAATCCGTTCAAGATATCACTTTATGAGTGGTGTCTTGGGGTTTGTGGCGTCCCTTGAACACCCCTGCTACCCTATTTTGTGAAATCCAAATTTCGGTTCAGCATACCTTTAAACTTCCCCCGAGGGAGATAAGCGTAAAAATAGCAGACGTCGCATAATCATCCGTGCGTATGTGCACAGTTGCAGATAGTATTCGATGTTTATAAAATGTGTATGAAGTAAACCGTGCTGTTGGTTTGGTAAAACGAAGGGTTATGCTAAAAAGTACCGAAAAGTCCTGGGTTTGCACGCGTTGTGCTAGACGCATTGTGCTAGACGGGACCACGACACTTTCAGATTTGCTTTCTTTTCACGAGTATACTCGTGAAAAGAAAGCAAATCTGAAAGCCATGTGCCCTTGCCTTTGCTGAACGCATCTCCTGAAATAAAGTGCAGGAGGTTTTAGTATATCGTAAACTAAAGTCAATGGACCTTGGGAAAGTAGCGCCAAGCTCCCCGTATGGTCGCCATCTTGGTCCGTGAAATGAGCAATTCCTTCTTAACCACTCCGTTCTTAATGAGATGATCTAAATTCGCTGGTGACGGGTAGCTTTAGGGAGACGTTTCTTGTATACCGAGCTTTTGCTATCCACACACCAATAAAACAAACGTTCATCTTCGTACCACCACCACCTGCTGTGTCGGTGCTTGGAGGCAGTGAAAAATGATTTTATTGTTTTAAAATACGCAAGAAGAACAATGTAATTGTAAGAGATCCGTGGAGATGGGCATGATTGATAACTTGATTGCATACACAGTGCCAAAGACGCTTATATTGGCGAGGAACGCTTCCAGTACGATGATGCTCCATGGTGATCTTCGCGCGAATTGTTTAGAACGACCCTCTGGAAGCTTCGTGAATGGATCGAGACGGTGATTTCCATGGGAACGTAGAAAAATCAGCCAACCGCCTTGCGAAGTTTTGGTTGTCTGTATGTTTGTATACGTTTGCGTCCGGCTAGCAGGTAGGGAAGGCAATGGCGCTACTTTCCTGGGATACAGTGACTTTTGCGTAAACTAGAGATTGCGGGCCTTGTGGGCGCGTGCTCACTTCATGCTCAAAGCGACGGCTCGAGCTCCCGCAAGGAATGCAGTCCTTGCATACGATCCACTAAAGATGTCTATTTACGCGCAGGAAGGGGTGCATCCTATCGTGTGCCTGCTCTCAGCACTTGCTGCAATAACGGGTAAACGCAATATTTGTTTGCAGTGCATGTCGATGCCCCAAAATACTCAGGAGTACACATTGGCATTTTTTTAAAATCGCCTGCGTTCAGTGGACTTGGAGAAAGATTTTCTTCACACCCGAGCGACTCCAACTCTGCTTGCGTTATTCAATTTGCCGATAGAGACGTCTCTCCGTGCATTAGTATTAAGATAAAGGTGCACAAACGCTAGCCTTCTTCACGTTTAAAGACAAAACTGTCTTCATAATATATATATATATATATATATATATATATATATATATATATATATATATATATATATATATATATATATAACGAAGTCAAAAACTCATTGAGAAACAGCAAACTGTGAAAGTTTAATCAACGGTTTCGCTGAGAAACTCGGCTTCGTCGGGAGGTGTCTTACAAGTGAGGACATATCGCTGCGGCAATGAAGTTGAGAACTGGGAGAAAAACACGCAACGGCACATATGCAAAAAAAAAAATTGTAATAGCAAGGTACGCGTTCCTACATAGCAACCACTTCGACCTGAGCCCGCTCCTCCTCCGGGGCGGCGCAACACAAAGTGCGCTTGAACGCCTACAACAGTGGCTACAATAGGCCGTAAACGGGCGACGTCTTCGTGACTGATGGCACCCAACGAGCCACTGCATCCCCGCGAAGGTCCAGGCAGGACTGTCCCCCCGTCCTTCCTGGAGCGCCGCGCGTGTTTAGGAAACCGAAAAAGCAAAACAGAAAAAATGTGTGCCCCTTCCGTTTGTCAAAAAAAGAAAAGAAAGTCGGGAGGGTTGGAGGGAGGGGGGGGGGGGGGAGAGTACGTTTGTGAGTTCCGCAGAAGTCGTAAAAGAATATACACGTGGTCCAATTCCAGTCGCAACTACATTACCACTATGAAAAGGTAGGTTAGGTTAATGCTCTTATTTATGCAAATGTGTCTGAACTCTCATTTATTCTTTTTTCTATTGCATTTAAACTGTATATGAGGTATGACCCTCGCTGTTCGCGCCCCCGGTTTGATCTAAATTCAGTTTCCAGTAATGTCACAAATAATTCATCGAAAGAATGCTGGGAGATGGGGGTGTTTTGAAAGAGGGAGTCTTGGATTAGATTTAGAGTGAGCTTTGTGGTTGTTGAAGCGTAGTCTAAACGCTGTCTCAGTCTGTCCTACGTATTGCATTTTGCATACTAACAAGTATACTACGTTTGAGGAGTTGTGTGTCAGTTCCTTTTTAATTTTGATTGAGTACTGCAAATGCGTGCTTCTGGATGTGTTTGTTTGCTGAATTTGTTTGCAGAATAAATACTGTGGTGTATTACAGGGCCTGCATTCGTTGTGTCACGGTGTACAGTATAAACGAGAATTTACTAGCGTGTCTCTTATGTTGCGTGATCGTCTATAGATCACCCCCGGTGAGAATGGAAATGCGCGCTTTAGGCGGTCACTTTGCTCGAGCATGTTGTAATGCCGTCCTAAAACATTATTTACGTTAGGATAGTGAGTGCTGTAAGTGAGACATAGATTTGTGCGTTGTCTGTCGCTCTGCGGGGGATGGTCCTCCAGGAGGTCGCTGCGTTTCAACATCCTGGCTTTATGGATTGCATTATCAATTACATTTTTGTTTGAACAGATGCGTTTGAAATGGTGGACCTGGCTGTAAGGTCTGATGTTCTTAGAGTGATAAGGGTGGTTGCTCTTGTAATGAGGGTAATGTCACCGATCTGCTGGCTTGCGGTAAAGCTTTGTTGTTAATTTTGCATCCTTTATTGTAAGGGTCACGTCCAAGAAGTTAATATCGGTTTGAGAGGAAGTGTGAGTGAAATGGATGAGTGGATGGACAAGTCTTGCAGATCCGCCTCGCCATTTGTCTAGAAATATATATATATATATATATATATATATATATATATATATATATATATATATATATATATATATATATATATATATATATATATATATATATGAATCTTTTCCACAGTAGTGGTTTTAATGGGTAATTGCACAAAACGTTTGAGTCCAACTTCCCCATAAAAATGTTGGCGTAACTTGGTGCCATCTTGGTTCCGCGGTACCGCTAACCTGTTTCAAATATTCATTGTTAAATTCAATTATATTTATTTCGAAAACAAGCAGCGTTAGGGTCGCAATCACATGACCATCTGGGCTCTGGTTTTCTTTGGGACTCGTGTTTTCTAGTGACTTGTCATGGAACACTCATGTTGATTATTTATCATCTGAAGCTTGTCACGTATTAAATTTTCTCATCCGTAACATTAGACAGGCACCATTCAAACTCAAAGAAATTTGTACACGCCCTATCTTAGGATATGCTTTTTCAGCATGGGATTGGCACACAAAGGTAACTATATATCACCTTGAGCTTATTCAGAAACGTGCAGCTTGTTCAACTGTTTCTGGCAAATATGATTTTTTAAAGAGCTATTCTAAAATTCCTCGCAATTAGGGATGGCCATCACTGAAGGACAAAAGAAGATATCTACGGTGGTATTTTTATAACATATTTAGTAGTAGAACTGACCTTGACAAAGAAAACTATTTAGAAGAACCAACCTACGTGTCCCCAAGCACAAATCATCATTTAAAGGTGCGCGAATTCCAGTGCAGAATAGCATTTTCAAGTAGACTTTTTTTTTCCGCCAACCGTACACGATTGGGATAATTTACTAGCTGAAGTTGTCCTTACAGCTTTCTCTTTTTTTTTTTTACTACCTTTCAATAATTGTTGCTAGAATAATTATTGGCTTAGTCGCCTTATAATGCTCTTTTTTATTTTTTTCCTTTTTTTTTTGCGTTGAAAGTATGGTAAATGTCATTTCTAAGGGAATCCTCCGCATCACACAATTTTCAGTCTGTATCTTTGTATTTTCGTTCGTCTATTTTTTTTCATTGCCTTACTTTTTACATTATTGCCCAGAATATGTACCTGAATAAATAAACAATTAAAGAAATAATTTTTTTTTTTTTTTTTTTTTTTTTTTTTTTACGGACAGGGAGTTTTGGGCTGGCGTTGAGTGTACTGAAGACTGACCTGCCGGACTTGGTGACGATCATCTCGTTGGTGACCTGACTAAACTTGTTCCACAGCGCCACGTCTTCGAGCACGACGCTGGCGGAAGTGGACAGCTCCGACGCCTTGTCCCCGGCGGAGGGGACCTTGGAGACCGCGGCGGCCATGGCTTCGCGGGATCCAGGACCCACGTCGGCCTCGATCAGGGACAGGATGAGGTCTTCCTCTGAGGGGTCCATGTCAGGATGTGCCGATTGAAGCGAGTCTGAAATCACCATCGATCAAAAAATGCAATTCAGTTCATGCTTCATCGAAACGCTTCCGCGGATCTTGGTTGGTCCGTTGTTATTTGTACTTTCCAGTGATCCTACAGTGGGCACTGTCGTTCAACTATGGAGCTTTCTTTTAGTCGGTTATTTTTGTAAGCGGAAAAGCCTGCGATTTATGACAGATCGCATGTCGGCCTAAATCAGACTCGCGCTATTTCGAACACACTAAAGACAACCTTGAAAACCCCTTTTTGTTAGACAATTAACCGGGGTTTCACGCAGGTCAAACCATTTGCCGCGCAGTTTGTCACAGATCTTTACGCACTCTTAGCATCTCTCCGCGGCTTTGCCCACGTATACCTTTTCGTTTTCAGGAAATTAGTATAAAGCTTACTGGCTGTGTTGCCAAGAGCCAAACAGCACCCGACCATGTGAATTAAAAATGTCTCTCTCTCTCTCCCTCTTTTCTCCAGTTCAAACATTCAGAAACGCGAGAAAGTTTACAATACTGGTAGTTTTCTGGCGAAAATTAAACTTTTGGCCAAAGGCGCTGGTCGCGACGGCCCCTGGAAGTAGTTCATTCGATATCCGCGAGGCGGCAACTATATCGCTGAAAAGTGCAAATTGTATGGGTAGTATAGGGGATATGCCACAAGCAGGCCCGTAGCCAGAAAGGGGCGGCGGCTTTAGGACGGTATCGCGGAGGTCAAGCGAAAAAAGGCTCTATTTTTTTCCTCCTTGCTTTTTACAAGCATGTTAATTCGAGCTATGTACGTATGTACGTGCACACGATGGCCCACCGGTTTACGTCCATAGTCTCCAGATTTGAGACAGATGTAGTTTTCACACGCAAATCCCGGCTGGGAGGTCTGTGGTGCAAGACGGTAAAAAGAAAGGTACTCGATCCCGCCGCCCCGTTCCACCAAGAAACATGCTAACAGGCTCGCCACGTGCAAGTCTTAGCATAACCTTTCAGGCCCACGTCCTGCGGTCGCTGAATACATCGACCAAACGGGTCGCTGCGTTAACGACCAGCTCCGGAAGCTTCACAAAGAAGTAGAGGAAGCCGCACCCAACAATCAGCACTTACACAAAGACGAGAATGCCGCGGCTGCGCTGCCGACTCGCGATGATGCTGGTAAATCTTCGTGAACGCGTCGGGAGGGAAAATGGTGACGAGCCCGCAAATCATAGCCTCATCGTCTCCTTTGCTGAGAAAGACCTCGGGGCCCCGGCGGCTCGACTGATGTCATTTTATCCCTAAACATCCCCCCCGTCCCCATTCCTCTTTCTTCCAATGCTTGATAGTTGGAAGCTGTGGCCTCAAAAAGTGTACCCCCCCCCCCCCTCCCCCGAAACAAATTCCTGGCCCACAAGGATAAATGCGTGGGAAGCGAGGAAGCAGACTCAATCGGTACGTATACAGATTGTTCAAGACGGATATTGCAAGAAAAACTATTTATTATAGTTCTAGTGGAAGTTGTTTGTTTGGGATCAGGACTGGAGTATCGAGGACTACACCGCTAGATTAGTAGAGATAAACACAAACATGGGCTAATGGGCGTACCAAGCCGGGGGGGGGGGGGGGCAGAGGGGCGCTTGCCCCCCCCCCCCCCCCCCCCTAGTTCTCAGAGTGTGGGGGGCAAGGCATGTGTTTTGCCCCCTTGAAACAGCCGCCACTGGACAAGGCAAACACTGGCCGGCGGCGCCCAAGGGATACCAAGGGCACCGGCCTTTGGGGGGGGGGGGGGGGGAGTTGGTTTGCGCCCCCCCCCCCCCCCCACTCAAAAACAAGTTGGTGCGCCACTGACCACAGACACAGTCATGCGGAGCGTGTGGAGAGGAGGATGAGACGGCTGAGCACTTGTACTCTGTTGCAAAGGACTTCACCTTCCAGTGGTTCAAGGCGTGACTGTTTCTTAAATTGGGAGGATGTAGACAACCAAGGGCTTATTTAACTGGTGGCATAAGTTGAGGGCAATCTTGTTTGCCCGATTTCGGGGAAATGTTTCATTCACAAAAATCGATTTTTTTTTAATGAGACAGTAAAGTTAATACTTGGCCGTTATACAAGATTTAATGGGTTTAGCTATATTATTCATCATATAATGCACGGAGCTGGGCACTCTGAAGGAACGAGCCGGACCTATTTGCTGCGATGGAATTTGGGGATATGAGAAAAAGCAAACTTATTAAAGGTTGAAGTATACATCGCGACTTTTTTAGCGCAAACGAGTAATAGCCAGTCTCTTCTTTCTTTCTTTTTGTCTAATTAAATTGCTGTGATATAAGTTACTAGCGTCGCGGAAAGTCCTCATTCAGGGCAGTAACCCATCCGGTGAAGTATGGTGCACGTTAAGAAACTGTCTGAGCAAAATGGGAAAAAGAGAAAAGAAAAAGCGCCGATGTCGGGTTCGCGCTAACAGTGTCGCTCACTGTACCCCAAAAAGAAGTCTGCAGCACTGCTGGGCAATGGTGAGGGAGGTGATTTGATGGAGCCGGAAAGATTTGATTGCGGAGGCACAAAAATCACGGGGTAAAGTTTGTATAATAGAGTGGCAGCTAAGCCACCAGCTAAATGGAAGGGATATGCCCAAATTCATTCATCTCTATCCAGCGCGAACAGAGTCTGAGATGTTCAGACACGTGGATTCGCTGCGTTAACAGCAGGGACCGCAGCAGGGCCGCCGTGGTCCGGGTCTTGACTAATCGCCTATCAACATCAAGAATTGACAAGGCGTGCACCCGAGCTTTTCTTAAACCCTTATTGATCTCTCGCAAGTGACCGCGTAAAGGCCTGTGCAAACAGGACACTTCATAAAACGTGAGGAGACACGTGTAAAAGTTGAAGCATCCGGCAGTCCGGCAGTCCGATGTCTGTTTGCACACCACCGAGCCAACCGAGCCAACATCACGACTTTCCTCCTCGCTTCCTCCACTTTTCGATGAAGTCAATGCTCGTCAGACTCGACGTCCCACGTCACCTGCCAATGCTACCCATCTGTTCTGCCGAGCCCACGTGATGTCAGTAGCAAAGGCGGCGGACGGGCCTCCTTGTCACTGAGACTGCGTGTCGCTTAAAACATGGCACCAATATCTCTTATACAACGCCAGCTTAAAGTTCTCCTTTGTTTGATCAAAGAAGGATCAGCAGTCCTTTGAATTGATCGTCCTTTGAACTTTGATCAGTTCAAAATGGAATCGTTGTTCCTTCTTTGAACTGACCAACGATTGGTGTGCCGGGTGCACTGTGGTGTAGGCAGGTAGGCTCAGACACTTCGTGCGTTGATTTACGACATCCATTTTCAACGGGTTTAATTAAACTAAATTACGCCTATCGAAACAAAAAGTTAAAAGTGTAAGTTGAATTTTCTCTTAGTAAAATATTTTCGCAGTGTGTAAAGCGCTCTTACATGACTCTTCCGGACATCTGACAACTACTGTTTTTTAGGCTATGCAGATTTGATTTATAAAAAACCGTGAATGGGGTGTGTGCAGGTGAGTTATACGGCCAGGGGGCAGATAATATAGGGGCTAATCGGTACTAAAAGTCGAACGATAAACTAAAATTCGTAAAATAACTTTTTCATTAGTAAAAATAAACTTGTGATTCCAAATAGGAACTTGCTGGGCGTCGTCGAAAACCACTAAATTCTTAATTTTTAGAAAACTTTGAGCTCGTGGGAAGCGCAGCGGGGCACTCAAGGTACCACTCGTGCAGCAATATATTTCTCGGAGTCCGCTCAGTAAATTCCCAAGACGGTTTTCTCAAAACTATCCCATTCCAAACCGCTCCAGACCACTGACATCTCATAAACACAAATGTTTCATACATAAAAAAATTTCTATATTCTATAATTACACATTATTCTGGCGCAAAAATTCCAGTGGCATGGAAGGTCCCTGCGATCAAGTGTCTTGGAGTCCAATGCCTACGCGCTGAAGCGTCGTCAAGGAACTCTCCCAAGATGAAGTGATAATGAAGCTTGGCAGAGCCGTATTCCTCCCATGAAAAACCGCAAGAGTCAGTGCCTCTTACAAATAAAATTGATTGATCGATTGATTGATTGATTGATTGAATGAATTTACAGAAGCGTCAGATGGCATGTCGAACGAGACGTCTCGGTGGCGCCCCCTTCCAGTTCTTACCCGTGGTGACGTCACGAGCAAGATAACCAGTTGCAAACGAAAGGTTCGATAGTGTGTAAATAATGAACAGCAGAATTTCGTTGCAAGAATAAACAGAAAGCAACAAAAATAACAAAGATAGGACGAGACATCTTTCCACGGTAGCCACGAACATTCTATTTACAAAACTTGCTTGTCCTATCTTCGTCATTTTTGTTATGTTTTATTTATTCTGGAATCTTGGAGTCATAACGTTCTTAAATCAACACTGTCGAAATTGACTGTCTGACATTGGTCTTATTTCTGACGATGAAACAGTGATTAATGTTAATAAAGACGTCCTATTGAAGGTTTGACCAATTATGAAAGACTGGCCACAGCGACGTTTCTGGAAGCCGTCTCGAAAGAAGGGTTTAGCGATGTGCGCAATACGCAAGGCGTATGTTTTGATTCTCTCAGCTTATTTTGTTCTGCCATTGAAAGGCG